CCGATGATCAGCAAGCTGAGTGTGTTGCCTCCAGTTCTTGAAGTGTAAAAGGCACATTATACTGTTCTTCTCTAAGAGAAGAAAAGTCCAAGGGTACTAACTCTGGCAGATTTTGAGGAAAGAAACGGGCATAGATGGAGCCCCCTGAGAAATACGGACCAGATGATTGCTAATTTCATTGGCAACATCTAGTGGGTTTGCTATATCAACACCAGCAACCCGCAGAACAGGCACCGGGTCAGGAGAATATTCACCACCCAGTTTTCGTACTTTTTTTCAGACTGCACTCATAGAGGAAGCAGAGGTGATGGTGGAGACATAATCTTGCCAGCAAGTGTGTTTAGCGTCACGGATGACACGGCGAGCGATCGCACGCTTCTGCTTAAAATCAAGAAGTCTCTCTGTGGTTCTATTGTACCGGTACCTGCCCCATGCAGCGCATTTCAAACGTACTGCACGAGCACAAGCAGGAGACCAAGGCACGCATTTCTGAGAATGCCTGCCCGAAATTTGGGGTATAGAATGAGAAGCGGTTAAAACGGAGCACGAGAAGAGGTGTAAAAGCTCATCAATGGAGGACGAAGAAGGAACCTCATTAGTGAGTAAAGGTATCAAATTGCCAGCGTGGGTTACGAAGAGGTGGTGAATATGAAGGAGAAGTACGAATGATTGGGAAATGATTGCTGTCATGTAAATCCACGAGAACAGACCAGGTGAAGTCTAATGCGGCGGAGGAAGAGCAGACTGAGATTGATGCAAGAGTGTGAGTCCGAGGATCAAAATGGGTGTGAATACCTGTACTTAAAACATGGAGGGGGTGGGTAGCAAGAAAAAGCTTCTAACTGAATGCCACAGGAATCACAGTGAGACCCCCCCCCCCCCCGAGGAAATGATGGGCATTAAAATTGCCAAGTAACAGAAGCGGTGGTGGTAATGAAACAAGAAAGGCAATATCCGGAATAGATAATGCCCGAGAAGGAGAGATATACATGTATAAAGAACAGAGCGTATACCACCTATGCAAGTGGATACGGGCTCCTGTGTAATGCAGCGAAGTACGAACAAATAGCTGATGGTATGGAATATCAGTGCGTAGAAGAAGGGCACTTTCATTAAAGGTCCCATCAGGAAAAGAATCTGAAGAATACAATAAATTATAGCCTGAGATGGGATAGATAACAGCAGAATGTAATTTTGGTTCCTGTAAGCAAACACCAACAGGGGAAAACTGGGAGAGTAACATCTGAAGCTCTCCCCGATTACCCGAGGCCGCGTATATTCCACTGTAAATAGGCCAAAGATACCTGAAATCTGCAGGTAAGGGTTCCTACGGACTAGAGAGGTTAGAAAAGTCCACATCCGGGGGCAGCGGAAAACGTTCAAGCAGCGAAGGAATGGTGCACTGTGAAGAAAGAAGTTGTGCAGATGGAGGAGAGGAGAGAGAAGGAACAGATTGATGGTTTGGTCTCTGCAATATATTCAGATTGCTTCAAGTGTTTGGGAATTCAGAGACATCTTATGGGAGACAATATTGGAGATGGTAGGGGGAGGATGAGTAAAGATTGGAACTGTAATGGACTGTACCAAAGTAGGGGGGGGGCGTGGAAGGGGGCAGAAGAGGAAGAAACTTGGGAGGGAACAGGGGAGGAAGGTACAGTATGAGGAGGGTGGTGAACCTCTACACTTGCAACAGAGCCAGTGAGAGGGAAAGGACCAGGTACAGAGACAGGGAAGGTAAAATGAGGTGGAAGGAGGGGTTAAATAACCTTTTTTTTGTGAATTCTGAGAAGCAGAGGGATGATTGGGAGGAGGTGTCGTACAAGATCTCGTTGATACCGAGGCTTGTGAGGGAGAACACAAAGAAGCGAGAACAGACTGAGGCGTTGAAGTAGGGACGTCTGAGCCAAGGACAGCAAAAGAATTAGATACAGGAGTGATTATGGGAGAGGTGACCACAGAGGAGGCTGCAGAAGATGGGACCCCAGAAGTGGGGGGACGTTTTGAAACATGGGAATAAGAAACACGAGGTAGTCTCCCTTGGAGATGAGAAACTGCCATGGCATAAGGGAGACCACCTGCCTCTGAGGTAACGGATTTCTGTTGACAATTAAGGCAAGAGGGACGTCGATTGCAAGACGTATTAGAATTGTCATTGGCACCACAGACTGGGCATTTGGCTATAGATCTGCAATATTTCGCTGGATGGCCAAATCGCCAGCAATTTCTACACTGTTGCGGTGTAGGGATCACCTTTCGAACTTGTAACTGATGTCCTGCTCCATAAACTGAGGATGGGAATTCACGGCTGTCAAAAGTTAAACGAGCCACATTGCTAGGGTATTGTCTCTGCCCGTGGGCAGGAAGAACATAATTGTCTACCTTGAGGATTGGGAGATCTTGGAGTTCCAGCTGTTCAAGAATGTCATTGCCACATGTCTGGAAATTTTGTTGAACTAATATATGGGGCAGAATGACGGTACCACTGCAAGAATTGAGGGAATGATGTTTTTCAATAGTGATAGGAACAGTATCGATATGGGAAAGAAGAGAAAGATCATGAGCTTGGGTAGCATTCTGTACAGTGATGATGTGCGTACCGCTCTTAAGAACATGAAAAGAAATATCTTTACCAACATGGCGAAGGAGTGCCTTGCCAATACTATGGTCAGAAAGATAGGCAATAGAGGAAGTCGGTCGTAAAGTGAAAAATTTAGTCCATTCTGAAACCGAGCGTGGAAAGGGAGTGCAGGACACGTCAATCTTTTCTGAGAAGAACGAGAAGGGTGAGAAGTATCATCAGCAGGTAATTGTCATTGGTGTTTAGGCATGGTCCGATGTGGAATGGGCTGGCGATTCGAAAATTGCCGCACTGTAGAGGCAGAGGCCGGAAGCATAGTCAAAGGAGAGCGGAGGTCAGATAAATCGAAGGAGTCAGTCGAGACCTCAGTACCTGAAGCGGGTGAGGAAACAGCACCGGCAAGAGGTACAGAGGCATTAGGAGTGTCCAAAGATGAGGCGGGGTCAGAACGGGGTGCGGTATCAAGAAGGGGCCCGGGGGTAGCAGGTTCATGGACTAGGGCTTCCATGGTTAGGTTTTTGTTTTTAAGAAAAAAAAAGGGTGGGACCAGGGAGGGATAGTTCCTAGGAGGAATGAAATCTCCCTCCGCACCCAAGAGGACCTCAGCACCGCAAGTAGCGCAGATGCAGCATGGAACCTGTGCCATACCCTACCCATTATGCCAGTAAACCAGCAATCCGGGATAGCAACCTCACATCTGCCAAGCTACCTCGGTGGACAAAAGAGAGGGCGGCCGGATATCCGCCACAAAGCATACCTCCTTCGGCCACCACCCCTGGAATCTGAAAGGTGGCTTCCAGAGATACACCCGTTGCCCGAAAGACACCCTACGGGATACCAGAGAGGGATCGGGACATCCCCAGGCAATCCAGATTCCACGGCAAACTACGCCACCGCCAAGAACCTCGACGGAATGGACCCCGGTACCCTTTCCCCTACCTAGGAACTAGCGTGCCTGTGGGAAAAAAAATCTCAAAGGCGCAAAAGGGAGGGGTGGGGAGTATGCGATAGGGAGGTAATTAGGTTGGGTCTGAGGAAGGAGACCGACAGGGTTAATTCCTCAGACCAAGAGCCCCCCCCCCCCCCTTGAAGAGGCCGTTAACGAATAACATTATTTAGTGATTTGGGTAAAATAAATTTAACTCGTCAAAAAAAAAAAAGTCGAGGGTAAGACAGAGCTTACCTCTTAAGCCCATAAAAAGCTAATTACAATATATCAAAAGTACAAAATTTTATATGTATTTATTAATGAAATACAGCTATTGTTTATAGTATATACAAAAAGTTAAGTGACAGATGAGCAAGAAATATGAATACATACTATATTTTATTCAAAAGAATGAGAACTTACCCTATGGATTCAGTACATGAAGAAATATTAAATGAACTTTGAAATACTTTCACTACAGTGACAAAAACTTATTTCTTTCAACAAACCTGCTATATCCCACCAGGGTGGCCCAAAAAAATAAAAAAATTTTATGGAACATAAAAGCTTGTTTCTACTGTACATACAAGTTAATAAAATGCAAGTAACTATGTATACAAAATATAAATGGCTTTACGATTAAAAAATTAAGGTTTTCCTTACATTACAAGAAACACATGCTAAACCTGTTAGTTATGCAGTTCCTTACTGCTCATAAAATATTCCCTCAAGAGGGGTTCCTCGATACTGGTGAGGCTCCTGATCCGAGAAATAGAACTCCTTGAATAGGATTAACTGCCTCCAATTCCTCAGGCACTGTATAACCCCAATATGTTAGCACTTACCCTAAAATATAATAGCTACAGCAATATTAAAATTAAATGAACTTCAGTAAAATTAATCACAGAACAAATACCATTATATATCCTACAAATAACTATTTGTTTGCCTTTAGTTTCACATTACTTTTCTTTATAACAAATACAATAGTTTTTACTACTAATCAATGTACAACAAAACTTCTTTGAAGGTGCTACAATATTTTTTTCACTTCAAGTCTAGCCTAGTGACATGAGCAAAAAAATATTGAATACATACTATATTTTATTCAAAATGACAACTTACTATATGGATTCAATACATGAAAAAAAATTACTACTTGAAATTTTAAATACTATTGCTGCAGTGACAAATACAAATGTAACTATTTTATTAACTTAAGTTTTCTTAAGGAACATAAAAGCTTGTTTCCACTGTACATTCAACTTAACTACATACACAAAATGTAAATGGCTTTACAATTAAAAAAACTAAGGATTTCCATAACCCTGTTAGGGTTATGCAGTTCCTTACTGCTCATAAAATAGATTCCCTCAACAGGGGTTCCTCGATACTGGCAAGGCTCCTGATCCAAGAAATGGAACTCTTTGAATAGGACCTAACTGCCTCCAATTCTTCAGGCACTGTATAACCCCAATATGTTAGCACTTCTAAAAAATATAATAGCTACTATATGTTAATAAAATAATGACAACAAATACAATTATGCATTCTAAAAATGAATAACTATTTGTTTGTCTTTAATTTCATATTCATTTTCCTGATAAATGCAGAAATAATTTTCACCACTACTCAATGTACAGCAAAACCATCTTTGAAGGTACTACTAAATTATTCTTTTGATTTCATTTCAAGTCTAGCCAAGAGTGTCACTATAGCAAGTATGGGATCATCAAACTCTCTAGGTTGACCAGGTATTAGAACCCATTCTGGTGCTATTGAGGGTAGTTCAGCGGCAGGAAGGGGTGCATACTTGACTGGTTTCTTCCCTCGTAAGCTGGCATTCTCACGCCGTATCATTATGGCCTTGATGCTTGTAAGATCTCTAATCACTTTAGGGTTCTTTATATCCTGTTTAGAAAAATGTAAATAAAATATAATTAAAAGCTATGCACACGAGAGAAATTAATATAAAAAGTTTCATATACATGTACAAAACTGAGTTTTATTTTATCTTATTAGTTACAGCTCTTGGTTTAAGAGTAGCTACATTTTAAAACTATGTCTCACCACCAAGTGCTATCGTTTGTGGCAAGTAAACTTTTATTTTGGTGCTTTGCCCTCAGTCTTAAGGCCAAGATTGAGTCACCAATGTAAAATGGATGAAGTATTGCAAGTAATAAATGATTTAATGCCAACAGAAGTTGTAATGAGTGCCTCTAAATGAATAAACAGAGGATTAGACAGGTACTGAAATGGTGCTCCATGTATATAGATTATTTTAACAAGTGCAATGAAAGAGAAAAATAAGTCATCATATGACATGCAATAAATCATTATTATAAATGAGAATATAACTGGGGGGAAAATTAAATCAGAAAATTTCACAGGAAAAGGTAAGAGTATTGGCATGAAATACACACATTAATACTATAACTGTCCTCTAGCCTAAAAGTATACTAACTGCATTAATTTTATTTAAAACATGTGGAATACCTTTTGTGGAGAATTAGTTGCAGTTAGAATATAGAGCAGAGTGCAGCACTTGCAAAAAATTCCAGGCCCCTTATCATAATATATAGTAAGCAGCTGGACGACAGTCTTCACTAACCCCTCCAACTGTCGACAGAATTACCATAATTTCAGATAATCATGGAATAAGTAAGGTACAGAAATTTTTAAGAGTAATATTTTTACACAAACTGACATATCAAATAGTAAAGTAGTTTATATATTTAATTGTAAAGACCATGATTCAATAAGGTATCCAATATTTAGATAAAATTAAACAAAAATACAAAAAAAAATTAGATTCAAAATACTTACATTGTGTATGAATTGTGCTGTGCATGGATATTTGGCCAAATTAATAAGAATATTAAGAATGTAACTAAGGATCTGCATGTGTGGAATAGAACGGTTGCAGGACCTGAGCAAGAGCATAATAGTGCCCAAAGAAGTACCTTCTGTCAACCTTTCAGAGCATGGAGGTGACCACCGAGTGCTTGTATCTGTACAAAGAAAAAAACATTACTTGGCTCACATAACTATAAGACTGAAATTTTTTGTAACTTAACCCTTTGACTGTTTTGGTCGTATATATACGTCTTACGAACCACCGTGTTTGACGTATATCTACTCATAAATTCTAGCGGCTTCAAATCAAGCAGGAGAAAGCGGGTAGGCCCACGTGAGAGAATGGGTCTATGTGCACCATATAAAAAAAGTCCTGCAGCATGCAGTGCATAATGAGAGAAAAAAACTGCGACCGTTTTTTTAATTAAAATGCTGACTTTGTGGTCTATTTTTTGTATAGTATTTATGGTTGTATTCTCATTTTCTTGGTCTCATTTGATAGAATGGAAAACATTTTATAAAAATAGAGGAGATTTTGATTGCTTTTACTATGAAAAGAACCTTGAAATGGAGCTCAAAGTAGGGGAAATGTTTGATTTTTGCCGATGTTCAAAAGTAAACAAACGATGTCATTTTCCAATAAATGTCCAAGCGGCCATTCTAATATGCAGTCATGAATGGGTTGAGTGTTTATACAATTATTACAATATTGCAGTAGTCTGCACAACAGTAAACCTCCTATTTTTTGTTTGAACAAAAATTCAAAATAGAAAGCAAGAGTAATATCAGGGGGGCCTGGAGACATGACTAATGAACAAAGAAAATGTTATTTTAGAGCCAGGAATGTCTGCATTGTTCATTCTGGACCCTATTTTGAAATTATCATATTTTTTATTTTTCATGAAATTGGCCAAATTGCAAATTTCTGACCACGTTGTTGAAATCTGTAAATGGGCAGTTTCTTGTACTCAGTCGATAGAAAAAATGGAGTTCTAAAGAAATAGCTATGAGTTTGGTTGACTGGAACAATGGAATTAGCCGAAAATAGGGCCCAAAGTGGGTGAAATCACCAATTCGTAAATAGTTGCTGAGGTCGCTAACTTCGCGAAAGCGTAATTCTGTCAGTTTTCCATCAAATTTCGTTCTTTTGGTGTCATTACAATCGGGAAAAGATTCTCTATCATTTCATAAAAAAAAGGAAGGGGGGGGGGGGGTTGCGACACCAGGAGACACCTCAGGATTTTGGGGCTGCGACAGTCAAGGGGTTAAAGATTAAATTTTTAAAACTATTAAAGTACAAGGACACAAGTACAACTAATGTGACTTTTTTATCACATTAGTCACGCTTGTGTCCTTTTACTTTACATATTGTTGGTAATTCTACCAACATTATTATAAAACTATTAAAGTTTTTTTTTTTTTCAACAAGTCGGTCGTCTCCCACCGAGGCAGGGTGACCCAAAAAAGAAAAAATCCCCAAAAAGAAAATACTTTCATCATTCAACACTTTCACCACACTCACACATTATCACTGATTTTGCAGAGGTGCTCAGAATACAACAGTTTAGAAGCATATACGTATAAAGATACACAACATATCCCTCCAAACTGCCAATATCCCAAACCCCTCCTTTAAAGTGCAGGCATTGTACTTCCCATTTCCAGGACTCAAGTCCGACTATATGAAAATAACCGGTTTCCCTGAATCCCTTCACTAAATATTACCCTGCTCACACTCCAACAGATCGTCAGGTCCCAAGTATCATTCGTCTCCATTCACTCCTATCTAACACGCTCATGCACGCTTGCTGGAAGTCCAAGCCCCTCGCCCACAAAACCTCCTTTACCCCCTCTTTCCAACCCTTTCGAGGACGACCCCTACCCCTCTTTCCTTCCCCTATAAATTTATATGCTTTCCATGTCATTCTACTTTGATCCATTCTCTCTAAATGACCAAACCACCTCAACAACCCCTCTTCTGCCCTCTGACTAATGCTTTTATTAACTCCACACCTTCTCCTAATTTCCACACTCCGAATTTTCTGCATAATATTTACACCACACATTGCCCTTAGACAGGACATCTCCACTGCCTCCAACCGTCTCCTCGCTGCTGCATTTACCACCCAAGCTTCACATCCATATAAGAGTGTTGGTACTACTATAATTTCATACATTCCCTTCTTTGCCTCCATAGATAACGTTTTTTGACTCCACATATACCTCAACGCACCACTCACCTTTTTTCCCTCATCAATTCTATGATTAACCTCATCCTTCATAAATCCATCCGCCGACACGTCAACTCCCAAGTATCTGAAAACATTCACTTCTTCCATACTCCTCCTCCCCAATTTGATATCCAATTTTTCTTTATCTAAATCATTTGATACCCTCATCACCTTACTCTTTTCTATGTTCACTTTCAACTTTCTACCTTTACACACATTCTCAAACTCATCCACAAACCTTTGCAATTTTTCTTTAGAATCTCCCATAAGCACAGTATCATCAGCAAAAAGTAACTGTCAATTCCCATTTTGAATTTGATTCCCCATAATTTAATCCCACCCCTCTCCCGAACACCGTAGCATTTACTTCTTTTACAACCCCATCTATAAATATATTAAACAACCATGGTGACATTACACATCCCTGTCTAAGACCTACTTTTACCGGGAAGTATTCTCCCTCTCTTCTACACACCCTAACCTGAGCCTCACTATCCTCATATAAGCTCTTTACAGCATTTAGTAACTTACCACCTATTCCATATACTTGCAACATCTGCCACATTGCTCCTCTATCCACTCTATCATATGCCTTTTCTAAATCCATAAATGCAATAAAAACTTCCCTACCTTTATCTAAATACTGTTCACATATATGCTTCAATGTAAACACTTGATCTACACATCCCCTACCCACTCTGAAGCCTCCTTGTTCATCCGCAATTCTACATTCTGTCTTACCTCTAATTCTTTCAATTATAACTCTACCGTATACTTTTCCTGGTATACTCAGTAAACTTATTCCTCTATAATTTTTACAATCTCTTCTGTCCCCTTTCCCTTTATATAAAGGGACTATACATGCTCTCTGCCAATCCCTAGGTACCTTCCCCTCTTTCATACATTTATTAAACAAAAGTACCAACCACTCCAACACTATATCATCCCCCTGCTTTTAACATTTCTGTCATGATCCCATCAGTTCCAGCTGCTTTACCCCCTTTCATTCTACGTAATGCCTCACATACTTCCACCACACTTACATTCTGCTCTTCTTCACTCCTAAAAGATGGTATACCTCCCTGGCCAGTGCATGAAATTACCGCCTCCCTTTCTTCCTCAACATTTAAAAGTTCCTCAAAATATTCTCGCCATCTACCTAATACCTCCCTCTCCCTATCTACTAACTCCCCTACTCTGTTTTTAACAGACAAATCCATACTTTCCCTAGGCTTTCTTAACTTGTTTAACTCACTCCAAAATTTTTTCTTATTTTCATTAAAATTTCTTGACAGTGCCTCTCCCACTCTTTCATCTGCTCTCCTTTTGCACTCTCTCACCACTCTCTTCACCTTTCTTTTACTCTCCATATACTCTGCTCTTCTTATAACACTTCTGCTTTGTAAAAACCTCTCGTAAGCTACCTTTTTCTCTTTTATCACACCCTTTACTTCATCATTCCACCAATCACTCCTCTTTCCTCCTGCCCCCCACTCTCCTATAACCACAAACTTCTGCCCCACATTCTAATACTGCATTTTTAAAACTATTCCAACCCTCTTCAACCCCCCCACTACTCATCTTTGCACTAGCCCACCTTTCTGCCAATAGTCACTTATATCTCGCCCGAACTTCCTCCTCCCTTAGTTTATACACTTTCACCTCCTTCTTACTTGTTGTTGCCACCTTCCTCTTTTCCCATCTACCTCTTACTCTAACTGTAGCTACAACTAAATAATGATCCGATATATCAGTTGCCCCTCAATAAACATGTACATCCTGGAGCCTACCCATCAACCTTTTATCCACCAATACATAATCTAACAAACTACTTTCATTACGTGCTACATCATACCTTGTATATTTATTTATCCTCTTTTTCATAAAATATGTATTACTTATTACCAAATTTCTTTCTACACATAGCTCAATTAAAGGCTCCCCATTTACATTTACCCCTGGCACCCCAAATTTACCTACTACTCCCTCCATAACATTTTTACCCACTTTAGCATTGAAATCCCCAAACACCATTACTCTCACACTTGATTCAAAACTCCCCACGCATTCACTCAACATTTCCCAGAATCTCTCTCTCTCCTCTACGCTTCTCTCTTCTCCAGGTGCATACATGCTTAATATAACCCACTTTTCACATCCAATCTTTATTTTACTCCACATAATCCTTGAATTTATACATTTGTAGTAAACAGTGGAACCTATATTACCTGCCGCTGAGTCACAAGCCTAGTTTCAAAAATTCTTTATTAGAGAGGGAACCAGTATTACAGGCAGAAAAGAATAAGTAATTGTCACTAGCAGTCACATGTGCAACTTGTGGGCTTCTTACTTCTTCTACAAGCTCTGTACTGTACTCTCACCAACACACACTGGCAGCAGTGACACTGCTGCTGCTTCTAAGTATTTCTTTGGGACCATGCCATGACAGAGTACATATAGCACTAGCCTGATCTTATTCTGCATAGTATCTTTTTATTCATGTTGGATTTCTTGTTACATTTGTTTTGTATACCAAAAAGTACCCAAACACTGGGCGAGAGAATATATGGTTCCTCTACGCAATGAAAACAGGCAACAGTACACATCATCTTAACATACCATCAGTCTCCCACCGAGGTAGGGCAACCCCCCCCCCCAAAAAAAAAAAAAATCACGTTGAATCCTAGAGGGAAGTAGTACAATGCCTGCACTCTGAAGGACGGATAAAGATGTTATAGTTTGAATTGCCATCTGAACTGTAATGTCACCACTAATGCAATGAATGACAATGACCAGGAAGTATTTATAAAACAGAAAGGGTAGCCAAGGCAAGAAGAGGTCTAACTGTGAAGGGTGGAAATCTTTGAGTAAAGTAACTGAGGGTCACAGATGTGAAGGTCACTGAGAAAGAGAGGAATAACACTTCTTGACAGGTGGTGTGATAAACATAGTGAATGTACATGCCGCTGTGCACTGGTTTGCAACAGACGGAAAAAGAAAAGGCTGTTGCCGAGTGATGATCATGTATGTCCTAGGAGAGAAAGTGAAGAGTTAGATTCCCATTCAGCTTTGAACTTGATGGAAGAAACAAGATTGTTCAGTGAATCAAGAAATGGTTGGAAGAGACTAGTCATGTGGCCCAAAAGCAAGGATATTATAAAATGGTCATGGTTTAGTGTCCAAGTAATTGAATCAGACCTATTAAACCCATAAAATAAACTGAAGGGTGTAGGGTGGCCTTACCCAGTCATGAAAATTGGCAAAAATCGAATATTTCAGGTAATTTGAGCCCAATTTAAACCTACTTCCAGTCCTAAAACCAATCAGAATCATCTCTTTCAGTAGTAGGTCTTCCATTCTATCAAGTTATACCAAGAAACAGCCCATAAAACCACAAAAACCATTCTAAAAACAACTCAAAGTTACTGTTTTAAATCAAACACATGGTCAGTTTTGATTTCTCCATCATGCTCTGCATAGTGCAAAATTTTGTTTTATACCGTGCACACTCGCCACACAGACCCATTCTCTAACCAAAATTTACTACTCGCATCTTATCTGAGTGAACTGAGCTCATGACATTGAAGTACATGAAGAACCCTGGCCTCAGTGACGTAGTTCTGAGTGATAGCCTCTGAAAGGGTAAAGTAGTAATTGAAAGATTTATGAACCTGTCACCTTACTTGTTTATGACAAAGACCAGCAATCATGTCAAGTGTGTAAAATATTTACCGGGTTTTTGTTTTACACTCTTGAATGATAGTGTCACCCTGGGTGGTTATGACAATGGTAGAATCTCCCAGGGTGGTTGTAATAGAATGATAGCATCTCTTTGGGTGGTTATGATAGAATGGTAGTATCTCCTTGGGTGGTTATGATAGAATGGTAGTATCTCCTTGGGTGGTTATGACAGAATGGTAGCATTTCCTAGGTGGTGGCTGTCTACTCACCTACCTCATGGATCCTGCAGATATTTAACATGTAGATGACTGGATGGTAGTTTTCTGTAATGCTTCTACTTCCTTTCTTCAAGACTTTTGTGGCAGCCAACATAAAATTTATTACAATAAAACACAAACGAATACCCAGTCAAGTCTCAGTGTAGGTGAAGCACACCATTTTCTTTTCAGTGAATTGATTGTTTCCTCACCAAGGTAGAGCAACTCAAGAAGGAAATGCAAGTACCCTCATTCACCCAATATTGGTCATGCCAGAAATGAGCAAACATCAAAATCTAAATAACCCTCTGACTACAAACTCATGCATCCTTCACAGAACAGACTATACTGACAAATGTGATCTGGTATACTGTACCCTTATTAGCTATTAAGTAGGGAGTTTTACATTTTTATTATGTAAAACAGGGTAAATTTTTTCAATCAAGGAACACACAAAAATAATTCCTACAAACAAATTAAGAAGTTTCCCATATTGTTAAACATCTCAACTTACCAAGATACATGACTGCTATCAATGTCCTCTTGATATCTTTGTACTTCATTAGATATGTAATAGCACATTGGGTTCTGTTGCCAATACGCTTACTATCTGTAGCATCCTGAGTGGCTATCTTCAGTCTCTGACGCACATCCTCAAGCTTCTTGCTATTTAAAGTCATGCGAACAGCTCTAGATCTCCATGCAGCTTGAAGAATAGTTGTTGCATGATGCCGACGATTCTGCAAAACCACATTGTTGAATGTATAATTTAATGGCATACAGAGGAAAATACTTATTTCCTGGAGTTCCAATTTAATTTGCAGAATAAAGTACCCTTGATCATATCACCTTACTAAGAACTTTTTTACAGTCTAGAAAAATGCAGACTACCCATCACTATCGTATGACTATATAGTAAGGAATTAACTTCCATTTCCGAATTTGTACTGTGGAGAGTATATTGTTTTCACAGGTGTGTGTGTGTGTGTGTGTGTAGGCACATTAGAGGCAAATTGTTTTTATTACTTGATGTGCTATTTGAGTGCAAGCGAGGTAACATTTGTGATGGGATTTGGGTTTACCAGTTAGATGGACTCTAATCCTTTTTTTTGTGTTCAGCTGTAGTTTCCCTACTTTACATACTCTCCCAAATTCACCACCACTCATTATAACATCCTCAAAATCTCCCAAAAGAACTGTCGTTGGGAAAAAGCAACTGTGATAACTCCCATTTTGTATCAGATCCAACAACTTTTAATCCCATATCTCTTTCCAACACCCTAGCATTCACTTCTTTTACAGCCCCATCAATGAATATATTAAACCATGGTGGTATCACACATCCTTACACTCTACTTTTACTGGGAAACAGTTTCCCTCCCTCCCTCTTACATACAATAGGACTCACTATCCACACAACTCTGCTGCTTTTAGCATCTTACCATTTTTTTTAAACACACCTTACCATTTTTTTTAACACACTGGCCATTTCCCACTAAGGCAAGGTGACCCAAAAATAAAGAAAGAAAGAAAAAAAAAAAAAACGTTCATTATCATTCATACGTAATCACTGTCTTTGCAGAAGCACTCAGATATGACAGCTAAGATGTCCCTCCAAACTGCCAATATCCCAAACCCCTCCTTTAAAGTGCAGGCATTGTATTTCCCATTTCCAGGACACTATTCCATATATTTCAAACAACTGCAACATGGTTCTCCTGCTCACTGTATCACATTGCATTTCTAAATGCAACAAACATCCCCTTACATTCATCAAAGTACTGCTTATTTAAATGCTTCATTGTAAACACTTGGTCTACATATTCCCTACCCTCTTCCTAAATATTTCCTGCTTCTCTTCAATCCTACTTTCTGTTTTACCCCTAACCCTTTCAATAATAATTCTACGATATACTTTACCCAATATACTCCAGAGGCTTATTCAACTACAAAATTCTTACATTCTCCCTTGTCCCCTTATACAAGGGAACTATGCATGCTCTCTGCCTATCCATTGGTCTCTTCCCTGCTTCCATGCATATCTGAACAAATACACTACACAAAAGAACTTAAAATATATTAGGTGCCAAACTTTTGGCATTAGTCAGTGAAACTGTTAAATTCTATAATTATAATGTGGCTGAAGTCATGGATAGTTTGAACTGAAGCTACAGCTCTCATACCGAGTGTCCATGGCACAGATGGTAATAATGGGCATGTTTCTTGACACCTGCTGCCCTGGTCCACTTAGCAGTACATAGGTACACGTACTTGGATGTAAGTTGACTGTTGTGGATCACATTCCAGGGAGTGGTAGTATACTTCAGATAGAAATGAGCTGAGGTAGGATAACAGTTCTTAACCTATAAAATGGATCAATTAAAAAAAAAAATAGTTTTTCTCACTACCTTTAATTTTTGCCTATTCATAACCCTATTAGCCGCTGTTACATTATAAATTACTCAAAAAAAAAGAGGGGGGGGGGGGGGGGCTGCGACACCAGGAGACACCTCAGGATTTGGGGCTGCGACAGTCAAGGGGTTAAAGATTAAATTTTTAAAACTATTAAAGTAAAAGGACACAAGTGCGACTAATGTGACAATAAAAAAGTCTAGGAAAAGACATTATTGGATGAAATTAGTGACTCACCTCAGCTAAGAAAAAGAAAAAGAAAAAGAAAAAAGAAAAAAGAAGAAAGAAGAAAGAAGAAAGAAGAAAAAAGAAGAAGAAGAAGAAGAAGAAGAAAACAACAACAACTCAATCTTTAGAGTCCAGTGCATAGTTATGAATTTCTTCCCCACCCATCCCCCCAAAATCAATAGGAATTACTTATGGAATATTATTGTCACAGTCCACATCTATAACATGGGTATCAATGGAAAAACGAGTCTCTTAAACCTTCTTATGTGGTCCCTATCTAGATCACTAAATGAGGGTTGACTGTACATAGGAAAAACAAACACAGAGCTCTTTGCACCTCTCTTATGCGCTGTAGTTTCTTTCGCCAGGTTCTCTGGATGACTATGGCACTGCTGCGCTGCCTCAGGAACGAAGACCTCTGCATTACAGCACGCACCCACCGTTGCACCTTTATCAAGGACTCTATGGTCTGTTGGGCTCTTATCAAAGATCGTCGGAAGCGGAATGCCCTCTGTTATTGTGGTCACCACATTAATATATTGTAGTTTAATTTTTAAATTAATGAAACATATACACCAAGTAAGAAATTATGAATAAGTAATGCACTATTTCAATGAAAATTTTTTTGAGTCTTTTACTTAGTTAAATATTTATGTATATGAAAATACCAATAAATTTTTTCCTTCAGAGAATGCTAATCATACTAAGTTAACATTTTCCACTTATTACTTAATGACACTCATAAAAAAAAAATAATATATATACAGTGGACCCCCAGTTCGCGATGCTATCGGTATCCGATAAATCAGGTATGCGATGCATTATATCGCAAAAAGTTCCCGTTACAAAACCTGTGTGGCCTGAACGTGGCCTGAACGTGTGGCCTGAACTGCCCCGTGTGTGCCAGTGTTTACAAGCCAGCCAGTGTGCTCACATCTAAGGATACATTCGGTACATTCCATATTATCAGTGTTTTTGGTGCTTGTTTCTGCAAAATAAGTCACCATAGGCCCCAAAGAAAGCTTCTAGTGCCAACCCTTCGAGACCAAGGGTGCTAATGACTATTGAAATGAAGAAAGAGATAATTGCAAAGTACAAAAGTGGAGTGCGTGTGTCGGAGCTAGCCAAGTTGTATACAAAACCCCAATCAGCCATCTCTACTATAGTGACCAGGAAAACGGCAATCAAAAAAGCTGTTGTTGCAAAAGGTGCAACTGTGATTACGAAACAGTGACCGCAAGTGTTAGAAAATGTTGAGGGACTGTTATTGGTGTGGATAAATGAAAAACAGATAGCAGGAGATAGCATCTCTCAAGCGATCATTTGTGAAAAGGCTAGGCAGTTGCATGATGATTTGGTAAAGAAATTGCCAGCAACTAGTGGTGATGTGAGTGAATTTAAGGCCAGCAAAGGTTGGTTTGAAAGATTTAAGAATTGTAGTGGCATACATAGTGTGATTAGGCATGGTGAGGCTGCCAGTTCAGACCACAAAGCAGCTGAAAAATATGTGAAGGAATTCAAGGATTACATAGGCAGTGAAGACTTGAAACGTGAACAAGTGTTTGTGACGAAAAGGCACTCCCAGGACATAAGCCTATGAAAGACAGGCTTACTCTTCTGATGTGTGCCAATGCTAGTGGTGATTGCAAAGTGAAGCCTTTATTGGTGTATCACTCTGAAACTCCCAGACCGTTCAGGCAAAAGAATGTCCTCAAGGAGAATTTGTGTGTGCTGTGGAGGGCAAACAGTAAGGCATGGGTCACTAGGGACTTTTTCTATGACTGGTTACACCATGCATTTGCCCCCAATGTGAAAGATTACCTAACTGAAAAGAAATTAGAACTTAAGTGCCTCCTGGTGTTAGACAATGCCCCTGGTCATCCTACAGACGTGGCAGAGCGACTTTATGGGGACATGAAATTCATTAAGGTGAAGTTTTTGCCTCCTAATACCACTCCTCTCCTGCAGCCCATGGACCAGCAGGTTATTGCAAACTTCAAAAAACTGTACACAAAAGCTCTGTTTGAAATGTGCTTTGTAGTGACCTTAGAAACTCAACTGACTCTAAGAGAGTTTTGGAGAGATCACTTTAATATCCTCAATTGTGTAAACCTTATAGGTAAGGCTTGGGAGGGAATGACTAAGAGAACCTTGAACTCTGCTTGGAAGAAACTGTGACCAGAATGTGTAGACCAAAGGGATTTTGAAGGGTTTCAGGCTAACCCTGAGAATCCTATGCCAGTTGAGGAATCCATTATGGCATTGGGAAAGTCCTTGGGGTTGGAGGTTAGTGGGGATGATGTGGAAGAGTTGGTGGAGGAGGACAATGAAGAACTAACCACTGATGAGCTGCTAGATCAACTTCAACAGCAAGAGGCCAGACCTGAGGAAACTGGTTCGAAGGAGGGGAGAGAGAAATTGAAGAAATTGCCACTTCAAGCCACTGTGCAAAGTGGCTTGAAGTGCAAACCTTCATGGATGAAAATCACCCTCACACAGCTATTGCAAGCCGTGCTGGTGACTATTACACTGACAATGTTGTGAAACACTTTAGGGAAGTCATAAAGGAACGAGAGTACAAAGGCCACTATGGACAGATTTGTTGGGGCGAAAAGAAGTCCAGTGACTCTGAAGCTGGTCCTAGTGGATTTAAAAGAAGAAGGGAAAACTCCCCAAAAGGTCCCCCCG